TAAGCTAGAGTCTGATAAATGCACAGAAGTTTTAAGAGATAAAAGAACATACAGATGATGTATTTTAAAATTGTACACTTGAAACCTATATAATTTTATTAGCCAATGTCACCCAAGTAAATTTAATAAAAATTTTAAAAAGAACATGCAAATTGATTGTATTAAAGTAGAGTAGCAAACCAAATGCATTCTTCTTTAAAGTTTCCCAGATGACTATGAAAGGATGTCAACTATATAAACAGGTAGTAGGTGGGGACAAAATGTGTTGGAACTGAGTGTCTTAGAGGAATTGTAAGGATTGCTTCATGTACTATTAAAAAGAGAACAGCTCTGGCCTGGCCAGTGTGGCTCAGTGATTGAGCGTCAACCTATGAACCAGGAGGTCAGGGCACTTGCTCAGGCTTGGTTTGAGGGCTAGATTCTTGGTGGGAAACATGAAGGAGGCAGCCAATTAATGATTCTCTCTCATCATTGATGTTTCTATCTCCCCTTCTTCCCTTCCTCTATGAAATCAATAAAAATATATTTTAAAAAAGAGAGAACAGTTCTTCTTAATCTATCTTTCAATATTTGTGCGACTAAAATAATTGCTCTAATAGTAATTCTACTTTTTAATAAATGTGAAATACTTTTGATAGTGGCAAATCCCTGAGTTTAGCATGTCACCATGCACAGTAACATAATTTTTGTGTGTGGATGCTAGGAGGTGGACTTAGTGTACTCATTGCATAAAGATTTGTTTTTTCCCATGCAGCTATAAATGCAATTTAGAATTGATAGCTAATTTCAAATGATTCCAAGAGAAATTTCGTTTTTTGGAAGTCATACATTGTAGGGTTGATGAATTTCAGTAACCTGGAGGAAATGGCTGTGGTGAAAAGATAGCATAGGGTAGCATTGCAGAGTTATTTTCAGAAAATTTTGAACAGATGTTTAGTGTTTATGAGCTGATAAAAATATCACATTTGACACTAAGTTGTTTGAACATGGCTAATGCTTTAAACTGTGATCTCTTTCTCAGGACTGAATGTAAGATAAGTGAGTCTGTTCCTCCGGAGTAATAACCATTACTGACCTGTATCTGGTTGATCATTGGCACTGTTATAGTTTTGATATAAATAAACCACCTTAACATCTTACAATTTTCCTCCTCTTTCAGTGGCCCAGTAGGTTCTTTGGACTTCAGTTTTAAAAAGTATTTTAAAAAAATAACACGGGTATATCTTTTGGTGTTGCCTTTCAAATCGACACAAATGAATAATCCTTATGTAAGGTCATCTGTGTAATGGGATTGGCTATGCAAATGTGGAGATTAGGTGTACACTGGAGTTAAACTGCTCTGCATAATAAAGGCTAGAGGGATTTGAAGAGCAAATGGAAAAAAAAAACCTGTGGGAGAAAATAGATACCAAGGAACCTGGGCACTTCTTAGTGGAAGGGAGTGTGAAAGCACCCTTCTACTCAACCATCATTCCAAGGAGAAAAATACTTGTTGGGGAGGGGTTTAGTTGTGCAGTTTAAATCCTATAGAGGTTTTGGTAAAATCTAAGTAGCTCGCTAATGATTGGTGTGAATGCTCTCATTATGAAATAAAGTAGGTGCTGAATTCAACACTAGTTTGAATATGAGATGCAAGTTAAATATATATACTATTATAATATGTTAAACTAATTAAATAAAATATTTTATATATTCATATTTTAACATTTTTATATTACATTCAGATATCACCTCATAAGGAAATCCCATATCTTCAAATGTTAGACTAAGGTAGTTATTCTAGAAGTATTTTTCTTTGATTGAGCTTAAATTTGTTTCCCCATGGTATTTATGTATTATGACATTTATTCTTTGAAATAGTATAGAATTGGTACAATATTTCTGCTGCATAATCTCTATGTATTAACCAATACATCTAATAGGTTGAAATTTTATGTAAATTTAGGTTCATATTCTATGGAAAAATTACCTGACATCTAGAACTTTAGGAACACAGTTGGATCTCCAGTAAAAAGTTTTAATCATTTGAAATGAAAGAAACTTATGAGTTTGTACGTTCATGGGAATTCCCCCCTCATATAATTGAAGATTATGTTTAGTTTGATAAAACCTTTCTTAGCCATCTTTAATTGTAAAGCGGTGAAGTGGAAAATTATGGTTTTAAACAGCTAATTTATATACTGTCTTTAGGGGGCAGTACTAAACCACTGATAAATTTTTTTTATTTTTGCTAATGTTATTGGTAATGACCACCATTAAATAAAATTAAGATAACAATAATGAGATTTGGGATGCAATTATGTACACCTCTTAATATTTGTAAAAATTTCTAGGTAGTCAAATGAGAATGATAGTTTGAAATTTAGTCATTTAATAATTCATCCAACAATTATTAAAATCCATTATGTATAACACATGTGTGAATAAGGCAATGTTTGCTTTCAGATAACTTACAATTGAGTAGGATAAGCAAACCATACTTGTATGTGTCTGCTATGTGTGTGTACATAAGATAAAGATAATAATGATATAAATAACAACATTTATTGATAATTGTTTATTTGCCAGTCACTGTCAAGCAATTAATTTTATCCTCATAAACCCCTATTGAGTAGGAATTATTATAATGCCTACTTTGTAAATAAGAAAGCTGAAGATTAATAAGATTATGTGATATAATTGGTGAT